AGTCCATCACTCATAAGGTCTTTTCGATCTCTTTGAGCCTAGCCTGCACTCCATCAGGGTCGTACTTACCCTTGAAGACAAGGGGATTGTTCCTCTAAAATGTCTATAAGACATGAGATCCATTATTTATGCAAGTATTAACATGTTATTGTACAACCTGAGCCAAAGCCTGCAAAGCAGCAACAAGTGTAGTATCATTCCTTCCAGCCATTACTCTATTTCAGATCATAACATCAAACAATGATTAGAAGAAACATATCAACATCATTCAACCACCATTATACACTACCTACTTAACGATCTGGCCGGACGAACCGACTCGATCTGATACCACTAATGTAACACCCTAAATTCCTCACGTAATTATTTTATTGAAATTCAAAGGAATTAAAACATTTCCATATTTAGGATGTTACCTTAATACATGCACATGCTCGTCAAAAAAAATACGTAACACATTTATAAAACATAAAACCACACACATTTCATATTTGATTATTCTTTCATTTATTCGTAGCGGAAAAACATCAACAATAGTTAAAACTCTTCAAAACGAGTCAAAATCTCCAATTAATTCAACTAACATCAATAATAATTAAAACTTAATGAAACAAAGTACTATAGCAGTTTTCTTCAAAACATAAATAAAACAAACGCCAAAAACCCCTGGTGTTATGTATCAGAGCTAACACCGCTTCAATCTACGCAAAACAAGGCCAAAACTTCTTATCTAGTAGCAACTCTAATCTTCGATACCTGAGTGATGTCATATAAAGCATCATTCCAACAAAAGGGTGAGATATCATAACAATATAAAAGGATATATAATAACGAGTAAGCAATGATTCAATACACATAGTTACACATATCATATCTCACACCGACATATCAACGACATTCATCATAACAAACATACTAATCATTGCACACACATCATCTCCATATCACAACATCGACAATTCAAAAATGCAATGTAATGCAACTGACAATATGCATGTGGTACCATCAGGTCATAAGCCCTCACCATAAAGCAAAATTCAGGCTATCAACATACAACCAAATCTGGGCTATCAACATACGGCCAAAAATTCGAGCCAACAACACAAGGAAAGTTCATGCTATCAATGATGCATATATGCGACACTCACAAGAAACAACAAGATTATACAACTATAACATGCCATCCATTCATACAATATTCACAAAATTTATCAAGTTCAATCATCACAAATACTCCACAATTTCTCTGACACAATCACTCAAAGCATAAGCCTCCAATCCAAAAATAATTCACCTGCTGTTATCAAAATTAATATCATATTTTAGAAAATGTTTTTATCTTTTCAACGGTCCAAACAGTGCATCAAACGAACACCGAGTCAAAAATTATGAATTTTACATGTTTTTGAAAAATGCTGCCAGCTTCAAAAAATTGATTCCCCTAATATTGGAAATCGATTTCCATACTTCAGTGGCTGCATTTTTGAAAATTTTAGTTCAGGAAATCGATTTCCTCAATACTGTAAATTGATTTCTATATTGTGATAGTGAAAAATCCTACTATTTTTCCTGTTACAGGAATTAATTGTTTTAACCCCAAACACCATTTTTTGACATCAAACCAGAAATTTTATCTTCTCAAAATGAAGTTAAGCAATACCTAACATCTCCATTCCTTCCGAAATACAAATATTCATCAATTTCATAGAAATTCAATCACAAATCACCACAAAACAACAACATTATCACTTACACACAAAATCCCAAATTGATCATCACAAAGATCATACAATTATGACTCCTATAACCACTACAATCCATCAAAATATATTCCTTTATAGAGTTAGAACCCCACCATTACCTTGGTTGACGATTCTTAGTTCTCTGCCAGAAAATCCCTCGCTCTAGATTGTACGTTCTTCTCCTTTCCTCTAGTTTCTACGACCAATTGCAACAAATAATTCTCTAATCCCTTGTTTTCCCAACTATAACCAACTATAACCCTTGGACCCCTAAGTTAGAATCCCCATAATACCCGTCCTCTAATTTAAATAATTATTAAAAATCTAATTATTAAATCACCAACTAAAGTCCAATTATTATATTAATAATAATAACTCAAATAATGCACTATATATTATAACTAGTTTTATTCTTATATTTCTAATAGCCACTACCCTTCCCTAAGGTACTCTAACATCGCATAATACATCATAACACATAATCAATTTATTAAAAATAAATACGATAAAATCAGGGCATTACACTCGACGCCTCTACTTGGCTCTACTCGCCACCTCCTCGCCCGACAACTTCTTGGCAACGTGTCTCACTCCATATATTTTTCAAGAGCTCACCCTTTTCACCTTTTTGCTCTCCAGATGGCTCGCACGATGATGCTGGGGTGACTGGCTCGCCATTACGCTTGTCGCTGGCTCATTTAATGATACTTGCAAAACAACAACTTCTCAGTTGTGATTTCTACACTGTTCCAGCCCAAAATATAGTATAAACATCATATATCACATGTCATCATCAAAATACATCATCCTATCAAATTGAACACGAATCATAGCATACAGATATCGTCAAATCAACATTTACATCAGATATCATCAACATCAACCATGTCATCATATTTCATCAATTTCATCACATGTTTCATCAAATTAATCACACAACAAAACCCCACATTACCCTAACCTTCTATCAATCATAATGAACTACAATTAAACCCCTTACCTTAATTCCTCAGCGAATTGGTTCTTTCTATTTGAGTTCTACTGAATCCTCTTCTAAGCCCTAGTTTTTCTTCGCGTTCTCTCAATTCCATGACATACCAAAAATGATCTCAATTCTTTCTTTTTCCCTTTTTATCTCTTGGACCCTTTCTAAGTTATTCCCCTTATGCCCTCACTAATCCTCATCAATTACCACCATGCCCTTATTATCTCTACACACCATATTCTATTTAATTATTATTAAATAATTCTAAATAAAATATAAATTATATTTATAACATCTAAATAATTAAATTAGAATTATCTAAATTCAAATTATTCTAATTAACACCTTAGTCAACCACTACCCACAACATATCATCATATATCACACAGATAATCACCAATAATTCACAAATAATTAATTAAATAATTAAATCTAGATTTGGAGTGTTACTCACGTGATTTATTGTAGGGAGCTTCCAAGCTTCAAATATCGGCATGACCTTGTTAGGGGTGTCTTGTTTGATATATTCTTATGTGCCAAAGTATCTGTGAAGAAAGAGGTGCCTGTTAATTTTTTGACTGACCTACTTGAGGGAAGATCAACATTTAAGCCAACATATGTTTTGGTGTATGCGTGGGTAGGAGGAAAACATGCTTGTGCGGACTTGATGGGAGTTTCTCCACTAGTGGGTTTGAGGGATGGTTCTTTTACTGTGGAAAAGTTGCTTCCAATAAAGTGGTCAAACATGAGATAGCGTGTTCTGAAAATCAACATGTTTTTATACCATTTGCCTTTGACACTTTTGATTTTCTAGCATCAGAAGCAGTTGATCTTTTACAGAGTTGAAAGACTTATGAATAACAATGTTGTATCTCTTAGGTCTATGAATATAATTTTTAAGAAGATTGATTTTACAATCTAAAAAAGAGTAGGGGCGCAACTTATTATCCGTTTGCCTTCTATTTTTATATTAACTTCATTTTTCTTTATATGAAGTAATTATTTACTAAAGAAATTATAATTATATTAACAAATTAACCAATTACCAAATATTCAGTTAATATAACTTATAGATGGAAATTTGAAAAAATTTAGTCAAGAATTTTATTTAGAAATAAAATTGTAAAACAAAGAAAAAACTAAAACATACTTAAAAATTTATAATATGATATATCTTTGACTCGTTTAATATTTCCTTAGATATGGTTGTTACTATTTTCCAATTAAAATATGATAAATATATTTAAATATCAGTTAAAGAGTGAAAATATGAACAATTTGCATATGTATAAGAAAAAATTATACACTCATCATATTTTCATTAAAAAATAGTAAAAACCACACCTGAAAAATGGTACCCAAGTTTTCTCCATTAATAATATATTAAATAACAATAATAAGATTTAAATAAACCATTTTCACTATATATTAACAAATTGTTATATCCAACCACTACTCCTTTCTTGGTCAAAATATTCATAACAGAAGGAAAATTGAAAAAATTTAGTCATAAATTTTATTTAGAAATAAAATTAAAAAAACAAAGGAGATACAAAATTTATTTAAAAGTATGAAATATATTAATAAGGTAATATATTTTTGACTCAATTAATAATATATTAATATTGAAACTTTAAACAAGCCATTTTCACTATATATATTTCATGTTGTCTAATTTTAACTTAAATATTTTAACAACAAAATATTTATAAAGACAAAATATTTATAAAAAATATTGTTTGTCAAAAAATTGCATTCGCCAAGAGTCCTAACGTTTTCCATTCGACCTAAAAACCTTGGTAAAATGGAAACGTTAAACCACCTGGTAATTCATTTCCCACGGTTTGGTGACTAAGCAAAATAGCCCTATAAAGTGTCATAGGGTTTTCTTCTTCATTCATATTTCATTTTCAGTTTATTCTGTCCCCTTAAGACCCTTCAGTCAAATTTCAACCTTTTTCTCAATTTCTCTGAGTACTTTTTGTTTTCTTCAAGACTATATATAATCACAATTTCTTTGGTTTTGTTGAGAACCAGACGGTTGAATGAACATGGTGCTCAATAGTCAATATGGGTAGGTTTAAACTTTTTTCTTTCTCTCTTTTGGTAATGTTGTGTTCATAAGTTTAGATTTTGAATTCTGGGTTGAATTTTGTAATAATTTGAGAAATTTGTGTAATTGGTAGTGTTTTTGTTACTTCATTTCTATGTTTTTTTGGGTGTAAGTCTTGATTTGTAAAGTAGAGAAAGAATCTTGAGTGTATCTTTCAAAAATGGAAAACTCGAGAAACAGGCCGAATGAGAATATGGGTGTAAATAAAATGGGAAAGACAATCAAAAAGAATTCATGGCAGCAAACAATTGAGTTTGGCAACAGTGTCATATCTAGCGGCAGACATCATTACCCTCAGCCAAAAATTCATCACATTCACAGAGATGATTTCAAGAGTTTTGTTATGCACGCTACTGGAAGAGAATTAAACGTGCCTACTAGAACTCAATCTGAGATTACTAGGTTGCAGCAAAACAGGCCTCCTCCATTGGCCAATGTGAGGAGGTCTTTTGCTCGGTTTCCGATGCAAGCCCCTCCTCCACGGGCGCCTTACATTAATGGACTGGCTGTACCTCCTTTGCAGCCGATTAGTGGTCCTCCGATCTTCGATGATTCATGGAACAATTTCGTCGAGTCTCCGATCTCAGCTTTCATGAGAAAGTTTCAAGAATCGGAGAACTACTACGGTGGTGGTGGTGGCGGCGGCGGTGGTGCTTCAAGAGGTAATCAGTTCCAGTCATACCCTCCTCCACAACAACAGATGATCAATAATGTTAATGTTAATGTTCAATCTCAGCCACAATATTTTCCGATTCAAACTCAAATGGTTAACTATGTTGAACAACTATCATCTGCTAGCAACCAAACTTTCCCAAATCCTAATCCTTCCGTGTCTTTGAAAATTGCTAGCAACCAAACTTTTCCTCTGAACCCTAGCAATCAATTTCTGAATGGTTTTCCTGAATCACAAGCAAATTATTCTATGTCACCAAATTCTGAATACTTGTTGGCTTCACCAACACAGAAAGGGAATGTCCTATCCCCTCAGTCACCTCACAGGCCTCTCCTGTCCCCAAGCATTTTCTCTTTGCCTTCTTCGCCGGACTACCCTTTCCAACCATATCTTCATAATGAATAGCTTTCTCATACTTCATTCAGGGTACTGCTACTGTCAAAGATTTTAGTTCACAATGTCATTTTGTCTTTATTTCTTTTACTTGTTTTGTTATGTGAGGATACTCTTTTTTAATACAGTATAAACAATGTAATGGGTTATTGTCAAAATACCTCAAATTCTTGCTATTTTTCTTTATTTTGTATGGAATTTTTTTAAGTAATTATCTTATTTGGCAAATAAAATTATACCGTACTTAATTTCTTTGTTGACATGAAGCGAGGAAGGTGAGTTGAAAACCTTAGTGAAGGAAGCAAGAGGATGATTAGAACAATGGTTTATAGAGATCAGAGCATGGAAACCTGAAAGATTAATGTGGTTAATATGCTACGTGCCATGCACTGAAGTTTTTCGAGTTTATAACACTAGTAAGAGTGTGTTTTGTTGTAAAGAGAAAGTGATAAAAGAGAAATAAGTAAGAGAGGGTGTGAGATGAGAGAAATAGGTAAAAAATAAAGATTTATAGAGTTGTTTGTTATAAGAGAAATATGAGAGAAATAGAAGAGAAAGAAGTGTGTAAAATTTTAAAAAGATAAAATTATCCTTACTATGAATTATATAAAATATTATATATTTAATTACATTAAGAAGATGCAAGGGCAAGAATGGAATAAAGTAAAAAAATTGTTTCTCTTTCTTCTTTATTCTCATTTTAGAGGAGATTGGAAAAAGTAATGGGACTTACACAATTTTATTCTCTCTTCCCTATTTCTCACACAACCAAACAAGAGAAATAAAACATCTCTCCTCAACTTCTCTCTCACCAACTTCCCCTTTTCTTACTTCATCTAAAACAAACACACCCTAAGATTTTGATGTAGCCATGCTCGAGATGATGAAACAAGAACACACCAGAAGTTTGACGTAGCCAGAATGTCGGTAGAGGATAAAGTATAACATCGTGTTAAATGAATCATTTATCATTGAAGTCAACAACATATTCAGTGTATAGATTGTATAAGACATGCATGGACCAAAGAGGATTGTGGTGTCAAGAGAAATTGAATGAATTAAGGTCAATATGATTAGTGATTCAAGCTCAGAAGAGGAGTTTGGTGCATGGGAAGAAGATGAAGAAGTATACAGAAAAAAACTTCCATTGTTAGCGAACGTTTGAGCAGGAATAGAAGAAGTGAAACAATGGTAGCAGGAAACGAGGAAAAAGAAATTGTCTTATTCTAAGATAGAGGCACAATGGAGGAGGCGATGGTGATTGACGGCAAAGAAATGTTGGAAACTAAGTGTTTAAAAAGTAGACCTGCAGACACAGGAAATGATAACACTTAAAGTATGGGGCATGAACTAGAGCCAAAGTCAATTCATGTAAATTTGAAAGAGGTTGGGATATAGTGGTAAGCTCAACATCAGCGAAAAGGTGTTTGGTGGGCCATGACATTGAAACTTCAGATCCAATATTACGTAGTCCAAAGAGGCATGGTGGATCACTCATTAGACTAAGCGAGCCTGGGCCCAAATCAAAGGAGATCATAAATCGTGAAAATGGAGCCCATGACAAATATTCAACCTATATTGGTCAAAAAGTACAAGTGTATGTGTTACTCGTGCAAGGGCAGTGAGACTCACAGACCTTTCTAGGTATATTACATTGTATGGTAGTTAGGATTTTACCACAACGACAAGAAGCCTTGTACAATGGTGTTTTATAGTGGTTTTAGGAATCCTACTCTCGTGAGGTGAAATATTATGTATATGAATGATATGCTAAGGTATAAATGTATGTAGTATGTGATTAGTATAATTTAAGATTTTCCCTTTTTCCTATGAGAGAGGTGTATTTATAGAGGCTTCTAGTCTCTAGGGCTCTCTTGGAAAGGGCCATTGTTCACTCAATCAATGGTGAACTATTCCATCCTTATTTTCAAAGAGAACATTGATCAGTTAGTGACAATTACTCCTCTCTGCCCCCAGAAACGTCTTATCCCATGTTTCCCATGACTAGGCGATAGGAAAGACCTTGGGGCAAAGCAATACTTCCTCCCAGATGACACATTATCGTCTACTCTCCTGGACGACCTATAATCATCGCCCTAGTAAAATCTTTTAAAAAATATAACACTATGTATTCCCTCAAATGTCATACCCTGATTTTGACCCTTCCTTTTTGTTCAGGCCATTAATTTTGGTTTGGTTAGAATTTCATCTATATAACCCTTTCATATTTGCAAATCATATCCATTATCCAAAAATTATCCATTTTAAAACCCTTTTCAATCTATTTCATTTCAACCCACTTCTTATATCCAAACTCACTTTCTAATTCATAATTAATCACAATGCCCATTTATTTTTTTTGTTAATCCGTTTTTTTTAAATCGGTGTTCAAATTAGATGATTAGTTTTTTTTAGGAAAAATTAATTTTTCACTTAATTGTTGAAATGAGATATATAGAATAGTAGGCTGATGCCTTTTGTTTTCAACTTTTTTTCTTATACATTGCACATTACATCATGTATCAGCAAAAAAATAATCCAATTTATAAGTATACATTGCACATCTTTTTTGTTACACTGAGGTACATAATTACATGAATGATTTAAATAGTATATATATTCGGTTACCATTTCATACATGTTTATACACCAGTACAGTATACAATAAAACAAAAAGGTTGCATCGGTTCCTCATGTAGGTGTCATATCACAACTCATATATAATCCAAACCACCTGCAAGAGTACAACAAAAAAGTAGGTTCAATTCACATTTTCAATACACAAATACATACACCTGCAAATCAAAATCCATTCCATATACAAATACATTTCTGGAAGGTGAAAAAGGACAAAAATGCAACCATAACAAGATTCTATAACTCCCAAAAATCCCTCATTTTCCCAATCAGATTCTTTAAACCCACCTCTTCAAATCTCCTCAACAAAATCTCAAATATCCTCTTGGCATATTCCTTTAATCTTATCCAATTCTTATTATCTATAAAAGCACCCAATCAGTGGCACATGAAGATACTAGAGTACACACCAGAAACCATCTTAAATCTCTTCTCAATACACCACAAATCCACTGTTAAATCCTCTCTAAAACTATGCTCAACTGACCTAAAAATTGTCGCGGTAAAAAATCGGGAGACCAAATTATTAACTAACTTAACTCACAAATTTTAAGAAGTCACCACTAAACTTTATTATTTCTAAGAAAAAGGGAAAAGATCAAAATCTTATATCTAAACATGGAATTCAAGAAATAAAATCTAAAAACAAAGCACAAAGAGATCTAAGGTACGGGGATTAGTTATATAAATGGAAGGTATTAACACGATATGTATCTATAGTACTCTATAGAAACCTCTTATAATATCTTTTTTTGGTTAAAATTGATTTGTTTGCTAAATGAGTGTCGAGATGAGAAAAGAAATATATTTTATTATATTTTTATTTAGAAAGACATAGTCTTATTACCTACCTACCAATGAAGGATCAAATCCTCGTAGTTCGTCGTAAAAATAACAAAATGGTTTCTTGTTGTTGATTTTAGGAGAAAAGATATTTCACCATCTTTAAGGAGAATACTCAACTAATACCACCGCAAGTATGAGAAGATGGATCTTCCATCATCATGTAGGAAGGGCTTTTAACTTGTATATAAGATCAACAAGTTGCCACTAGCTTTCTCATGTGGAAAGAATCAATATTTACTTCATTCATTACTATGGGGATATGAGAATTACATCTCTACTATGAAGATGAATCATGTCTAAACTCTTTAAGAAAAGATTTTAAATTGAAAAGGTAAGTGGCAAGAATATTTGAGTGAAGTTGAATCACTTTTAGTCTTTTGAAATTATTTAATATGTTTAAGTGCATTGAAGCATTTATTAAAGGAAAATTTTGAAAATGCAATGACGTAAAGCCAAGGTTTTTTAATTGAAAGTGGTTATAGTTTAAAAATGAGATTAGGGTTTTAGATACAAGGGGTAAACACCAACAATTATAAGGGTGGCACGCAAAGATAAATACATAAGGGTAAACCTACGACAATGCATATGCACATGGCTCTAAAGGTAATAATACTATCCCTTTTCTTGGATTCGAACATAAGTACTAATAAAATATAAACAACTAATCACACATATATCACAAAGGGTGAGAAAAAAATCACAAAGTACTATGGCTTTTAAGAGAATCATTTAAGAAAAAATCTAAATCAAAGATGGACAAGTATCAATCAAAAAGAAAAGTCAACATGCTTATCAAGTAAAATTTGTGGCAAAAGATAGAAGACGAGAACATACTTTGATAAAACATTCAGTCATGGATGACATGGACATATAAACAAGTACACAAGGGACATGGTAAAGCAATCATTCATCTTATCATGTCAACAATCAACTTTAAACATCAAAATAATTCAAACAAGGTAGGCATTAAAGTTTAGAATCAAAGTTATGTCATTAAAGTTAAGAGTATACACAAACATGTGATCGAAGGAGACTTCAACTTATGGTAACCAAAACATCAAGGCATTATCATGGTATGAAGAAATAAGGGAGTATCAACAATACATTGCATCAAAAGTAAAAGCAAAACATCATAATCAAATTAGGATTTTGAAATCATCAAACACAAAGTTACTTTATTAAAACATGTTAAAAACCTAAGTGAAACCAAATTAATCATGTCATCAACATCAAATGAAACTCAATCAAAGCATACTATAGTCACATAAACAAAAATGATCCATTAAATAAAGGAATCAATCAAAAGATCTTAAAAGTACTTGTTTTTGAATTAAATAAAAATAGGTAAAATAAATATTATTTTTGGTATTTTTAAGGTATTAGTAAAATATATAAGATAAATAACAAGTGACAAAAAATCAGCTCAAAACGATAAAAATTGGATATAGAAATAATTAAAAGAAAAGAGGAGAAAAATGAACAAAAACAAGTGATAACAAAATTTTTGGTGGCCTAAGGTGTTGAACTCA